TTGTTAGTCTATAAAAGTGCTACCAGACCATTTGTTGGGTTTTTTTAGATTCCAAAAGTCAGATTAAATGCATTTTCCAGAATGACTGATTTTTTTGCAACAAAATTATAATAAAGCACAAAAAACAATTTAACTACTTTAAAAATGGAAATTGGTTGAGGGCTTATTTATTCATAGATTGATTTAATGTATTTACGTATACTTCAGCTGGGTACACAACAAAGTTAGTTAACAAAATATTTGTCTTGCATGAAAAGTGCTTTTTATTGTGCTACATTATTTTGAAGTTCTTTGCAGCAGTGTAGATGTAATCATTTTGGTGCTAGGGTATGACAGAGTCAAGGTCAGTGAAGTTATCTCTTATTCAATGAATATTGCCTCGGCTATCTTGTTCCCCGTGTTATTTTAAAGTTGTAAGTCATAACTTCAGCAATATATTACATTTTGAGAATGAAAAATAACTGCTTGTGATAAATTTAGTGTACCATGTGGCTTAGTGTTGGCTGTCAATCTCAATGCATAGCAATATGGACTTGTTAGCCCAGCCATCTACTGAGTTTATTCTCTATAGATCAATTCCAGTGCTTGCCTCTTTAGCCCACCTTTGATTTATGATTCACTTCTTTATAGAATCTGTGGCACATCACAGGCATTAAACCTTTCAAGAAACACTCACTGACAAATTAATTCTGTTCATACTGGATGAACAAAAAAATTAAATATCTGAAAATAATAAGGGCTAAATCATACCCATGTGGACAATTTCCCATCTATGATCCTATTGGTGCAAAGAACACTGCCATCATGAATGTGATTAATTTTTTTAAAAATTCTGACCCCATCTCAATTCTGTGTTCTTCAAAATTAAGTCCCTCTGTTTTAAGATTCTTTTCTATCTTGCTGTGGAAAAAGAATCACAATAGAGCAAATGACCAAAGCCTCAATGCAGCAAAGACTCATCCATGTGCTGAACTTGCAGTAGAAGTGTCATTCAAGCTTTGTGGGCCAGATCCTCACCTGTTGATTCCAAGGGAATTCTGTTGACTTACATCAGATGAGGAACTGGACCACTGGATCTTCTTCTTTATTTGTATGCACATGCATTTGCAGGACTATGGACTGCCTGATTACATGGGGCGGGGAGAAGTGCTGTCAGGTGCACAAAGTAAATGAAACATAAAACAGGAAAATGCTCTCTTTAATCTCTCTCAGTAATTTTAGTGCTCCAGAGTGAAGAGTTACTTTTAAATTGGCTGTGTCAAAATGCTCTAAAAATATACTTCTGCAACAGATCGGGATTCTGCCACATCAGCCTTTACAACCTAAAGGACCATGCAAAATTTTAACTAGTGAAATACAACTGAAAATTGTGAACATATACCAAATTTTGCTTAAACCAAAAAAAGCCATATGTAAGCTAAGCTGAAATGTGTCCTTAGTCTATAGCAGGGGTCGGCAACCTATGGCTCACTAGGAAGCCAGATAGGGACCTTCTGGAGTCCCCTTTCCCCCATTTCCCGCACAGCAGGGAGCCACTGCTGGTGCTACAGCCTTACGGCCCCCCATAAGATTGGAATGCCAACACCAGCTTTCTGCGGGGGGAGGAGAAATGTGGGGGAGAAAACCCTGAGCCTCCCTATCAGATTGTGTGTGTGGGAAACAAGCGGAGAGAAAAATAGATCTGTGCACCATACTTTTTCTTCCCCTTGGTGTGAGGGAAACAAGCAGCCACAAATGGCTCTATGCACACTACCCTTTTTCTTCCCCTGGGACATACTTCCTGCAGGCTTCCCCTGGGAATCCTTCCTGGAGGCTTCCTTTCAGGGAATGGGAGCAGCAGGAAGCCGTGTTACACGGTGCCTGCCATGCGGCACAAAAACAAAAAAGTGCCCCTCCCACTCCCTCATGACCATACCCTCACCCGCCACAGACAGACTCTCTGCCCCCAGCCCACTTCTGCCCCCTGCCTAGATACCATGCCCCCCCCCACCCTCTGGTCAGAGAGCCTGCTCCCTAGCTAGACAGCCTACTTCCACATCTTACCTCCCACTCAGACCTGGCAGCCTCACCCACCTCCTGCCCAGATCCTGCACTCCGATCCCCCTCTCATTCACTGGCAGCCCTGTCCCACACACTTTAACAGTTCATTTTTTGGCCCTACCCTGGAGCCTAGGGGAGCCCATAAAATCCACTAGCTTCTCAATTGTATGGTTCCCAACTGATTTTTCTATGGGTCAGTGGCCTCCAACCCAAAATGGGTTTCCCACTCCTGCTATAAATAAAGACAATGTTTAAACCTTTTGTGTTGGACATAATATTTTACTTTATTTAAAAATGAAGCCTGGCCAACAAGCCTCCAGTTTGGAGCCCAGCCCCCATCTAACCCATAACACTCCTGCACTGCCTCCCTCACCAACCCTGAGCCCATCATATACCTGAGCCCCCTGCCCTGAGCCCCTCATAACTCCACATCCCCAAATTCATGCACCCCCCCATTCCCATCCCTCTGCCATAAGACTTACAGAAGACAGCCTGAATGTGTGCATGAAGCTGGATTTGACCAGTCATGATGAAAATTTCAAAGAAATGTGCAAAAAGATGCAGCAGAAATCCCATTAAATAAACTCCGAGTACAAAGTTTCATTTATGCTATAATTAATCATTATGTCAATTATCAAGAATAGTAAGCTGTACATTTTCAGTCATGCAAATGGGCATTTTTATATGGCTCTTCATTGACCACTTGTTCTGAATTTTGATGTAGTTTGGCTCTTCGGTTTGACCAGGCATCTGCAACCTTTTCTATAGCCTTTTCCTTACAGTAAATATTCAAAAATACAAAAAACAACTGACCAACCATTTATCAGTGGTCATCATGTAATTCCTGTGGTAACTAGACATTTAAGAGTAGTTTAAGAACAAGAATTTTGTCTCACTTCAGCTCTAAGCAATCAACCTCTGAAATACATTCATTCATTACAGCTGGGAGTATGTGTCTCTAATAATACATTAAAGACAACCTGATAATCATCTTAACAAAAATCCTCTAATGTGTGCAAAATGCCACCATGATCAGATCTAGAAGAGGAGACAGGCCAAATCACTCTCCTATTCCTACCACAGGCTGAACCAAGGTATTGGGAAAGCTCAGCACATATTGGAAGAATTTATTTAAATGGTTAGTTATTTTTTGTGGCTCTCCTTTAACATTTTCAGCTAAATCTCAGAAGGCTAGATTAAGTCTCACACTCAGCCCTGTGTAGGAGGTTGCTACATCATGCCAAAGGATAAAATCAGGGAGAAACGGATTCAATCACAATTCCTTTCCTGATTCCTCTTTGCAATGGGAAGAAGGAATTTACTGCATCACAAAAAAGGAAGCAAGCTTTCTTTCCCTCCACTGATACCTGGCCAATTCTGCAGGCCAGCATGTTGGTGAGGAAAGGGGAAAGTCATGCTACCACAGCCTGTTCGTATTGATCCAATGACAAGATCTGGGTAGCTCTAACCACTACTGCTCTCTCTCCACCTTGAAGCCAAATTAAGAATTGAAACAATCTAGCCCGGGTAATTTCAGTATTTTAGACCTGAAGGGCAAATGACACTTAGAAAACTGACAACTACAAGTCTCCGTGGAGTCATAAGGGGCCAAATTAACATCTATCTTCCAGTCTACTGCACCAAATATCATTGTCATGATTTCAGGACTTATGAGAGCCAATAACAAAGGGCCTCCTCCGTTTACCACAGAAACAGAGGGGGTACGTCTAAACTACAGGGCTCCGTCGACGGAGCCATGTAGATTAGGCTGATCGGCAAAGGGAAATGAAGCCACGATTTAAATAATCGCGGCTTCATTTCCCTTTGCCGATCAGCCTAATCTACATGGCTCCGTCGACGGAGCCATGTAGATTAGGCTGATCGGCAAAGGGAAATGAAGCCACGATTTAAATAATCGCGGCTTCATTTCCCTTTGCCGATCAGCCTAATCTACATGGCTCCGTCGACGGAGCCATGTAGATTAGGCTGATCGGCAAAGGGAAATGAAGCCACGATTTAAATAATCGCGGCTTCATTTCCCTTTGCCGATCAGCCTAATCTACATGGCTCCGTCGACGGAGCCATGTAGTTTAGACACAGCCAGGAACTGAAATCCTGACCCCACTGAAGTCAATTGCAAACCCCTACAATTAATGAAATTGGGCTAGGATATAAGCCAAGATCTTCTAGCAAACCTACTATATGTGAAGAAATGCAAGCTAACACAACACATTGTAGGGCCTTGCTTTCCCCACGCATGTCCATCTTGTACCACTCTCTCTTAAAATAAAAAGTACATTTTAAAAAGCTTTCAGTGAACTACTTTGAATATAATATATATTTTAACTCTCAGTTAAATCCATAGCATGTTTCTATTCATATTCCATTTTGTACTGATAAATATTCAAATTACAGTGAATCTCTATGCTCATCACACACTTGGTCTTCAACCCATTTATTAAATATATTCCCATCTATTCTATTACTTTAATATTTTCTTTTCAAATAAAACCTGTAATGTGGCAGTGTAGAAACTGATTTCTGTACTTTATGATCACCAGCAGGGAACTAATCAACATTTTTTATTTGAATATTCTTACTGAGATCCCTTTGACAATGATTCATAATCCTAAATCTAACAGGGCTAAATAAATGAGGCTGCTTAGACTAAATTCATAAGAGTTAAATTTGTGTACCTGTTCAGGCAAAAAAAAATAATAAAAAGAGAAGTAGTGGGAGTATTACAAAACCCTCATAAATATGTTCCTTTTGCAACATATAAACAAATTAGCATTTAAAAGTAGAAACTTCTTCAAATGCATGTAAGAGATGACCTGTGGCAATACAAGAAATGCGTTATAGCACCCTTGCTGTATTTCTTTTGATGAATGTTGAGTTCAGACATCATATAGATACACTAATATAAAATGTGCATCAGTATTTCATGTTAGAAAACTTACCCATAGCCATCTTCCGCATCCAGATCATCCTCTTGGTCAGAGTCTCTGTATTTATCAGGATCTGGAAGGGTAGCTGGGTCAAATTCCTCTTCACTTCCACTGTAATCCAGAAAGGCCTCAGCTTCCTCTTCAACCTGAAGGAGAATGAAAAGTTACAGACTCAAATAATTCTAGATTTTCTGCTCTCCCTGTACAGCTTGGACCACTTTGGTCCAGCACCTTTGGGACCTGAGCAGTCCTGAACCAGAGAATTTGCCAGACTAGGGAAGGTCAATGTTCTCCTGCTGGGCTGCTCCACTCCCAGGCTCCTGCTTGCTGCTGACAGGGGTTCCCCAGGTTTCCCTGCCAGGGCCACCCAGATGCTCTCAACCCTGCCCCAATGACATAGCCTCGCTGCCACTGGGGATTCCCCAGCCAAACCTCATGTACTGCTGCCCGACCCCGCTGCCACCGGGGGTTCTCTGACTGGGGCCACCCAGTCCCTCCCAGACCTGCTGCCACCAGGGAATCCAGGGGTTCCCTGGCTGCCTGGCCCTGTTAACGTCAGGTAGTTCCTCAGCTCTGCCTGGCCCCAATAACGCTAGAGAGTTCCCTGGCCAGGGCTGCCAAGCTGCCACTGGCCTCACTGCCAGAGCCAGTCCTGCTCCTGCCAGGGCTTCCCAGGGTGCATGGCTGCCGTGTTGGCCTGCTGCTGCAAGGGGTTCCCCAGGTGTGGCAGGGATTTCCCATTTGCCACCTGGCCCTGTGATGCCAGGGGTTCTCCAGCTAGGCCAGGGCTCCCCAGCTGCCACCTGGTCCAGCCACTGCTGCCCTAGCCAAGGCTCCCCAGCCCTGTGATCTCTCAGCTGACTCCTGCTCTCCTCCCTTGAGGGCTCTTTGGTCTGGTGACATTCGTGGCTCTACCGGACCATAGATGCCGCCAAACCAGAGAGTCCTAGGTTTGGGAGTCTCAACCTGGACTGAAAGTGCTCCAAGGGAACAGATTCGTGGATTTAGACTACAGCCCTTTCAGCCAGGGAAAACGGATTGCTTTCACCCCCACTCAGTCACGTTCTCTCTCGCTAGCAAGCATCAAGGTTGAACAAACAACATATTTGAAAATAAAACCAGAGAATTTATGCTCCAATGTTGCATTTTCAAGTAATTCTGTTTAAATCTACCAAATCCAGACACGATTTTGGCAGCAACTTAAAACACTCTCAGAGCAGATGTGTGGCAAGAGTTTTTAAATGACTAAATGTACTTCTGAGAGAATGTAAAAAGACATGGGGATGTGCATTACTTAACCAGTTTGGTAGCATGCGTTTTACAAAACAGACTGATTTAAAACTCAGTCATGGTTGCTTGCAGCTATAAGCCACAACACACCAAAGAGTGAATGCAACCTAAGGATGCAGCCACCATGGATGGTAAGTGTTCCTCCAACTTACTCTCTCCTCTCCCTGCCCTGCTCCCCTTGCACATACTCAGTACCTTTCAGAGTCTGAGAGGCTGTGTATACACTGCGCCCGTTTTGTGCAAGAAATATGCAAATGAGGCTAAGCATGGAATATCATGGCCCCGTATTTGCATAGCTAATGAGGCTCCATTTTTGCTCAAGAGACATTTTCAAACTGAGTCTGGACCTCAAAAGTGAGTCAGGATCAATGTTTCCTCTAATTTTTTCCATCCATGTGTGGGATACTTTTTTTTGTACACTGAGATGCATGCAGAAGTGCACCGCCAGTAGAAACACACATGCTGTGTGGGCGCTCTGCTAAACAGCTGGGAGGCACCTGACTCTCCTTGGTGGCTGCCCAAGCACTCAGCTTACAGGGAATACTGCTTGCAAGCCCCTAAGAACAGGGTCACCAGGACTGGTTTAGACATGCTGGAGCCCCACGCTGAAGCCAGAGCCCCACTGCCCAGGGCTGAAGATAAAGCCTGAGGGCTTCATCCAGGGCGGCAGGGATCAGGCTGCAGGCCTCCTGCCTGGGGCTGAAGCCCCTGAACTTCAGCTTTGGGGCGCCTGCTCAGTGATCGGTTGTGGGGCTGAGGCTCCCCTCTCCATCCCCAGGTCAGTGGAACTTGGACAGGCTCAGGCTTTGGTCCCCTCTCTGAACTTAACAAAACAATCTTTATAGATTCCAATGCCAAAGGACCAGTGTCCGCTCGTCTGATCTCCTTTATAACACAGGAGGACAGATGTGGCATGGAATTAAAGCAGGGGCCGGATCCTCATAAGAAAGGCCATTCTGGGTCAGACCAAAGGGCCACCTAGCCCAGTGTCATGTTGGCCAAGAGTGGCCAATATAAGATGCCCCAGAGGGAAGGATCACAACAGGTAATCTGGCTTGCCTGGATCAGGACCCCAGGCTCAGAGCTCCCCACCCAGCATTAGGGAGCCTGTGCTGGCGCTCCAGCCCCCTGCCACTTCCCTGCAGCAAAGACCAATATTTGCTTCAATAAGGGCAACTTTCATCCTTTGTTATATACAAACTAAAGCATTTCTAACGAAGTGTAATAAAAAGGGAGGACAGAAATTTCAAGTTGAGAATTTGAAAGTGGAAGGAAGGTTGGATGCCTTTATGAAATCATAGAGTTCATGATTCTAAGGTATGGTAGAAGGGAGAACAGCAAATTAGAGACCATGGATTTCAGGAAGGCAGATTTTGGTAAGATCAGAGAAGTGGTAGCTAAGGTCCCATGGGAAATAAGACTTAAGGGAGAAACAACTGAAGAGAGTTCGCAGTTTTTCAAAGGGACATTATTAAGGGCCCAAAAGCAAGCTTTTCTGCTGCGTAGAAGCAAATATGGCAAAAGACTGACTTGGCTGACCCAGGAAATCTTCCATGATCTAAAAATAAAAAAGGAGTACTATAAAAGATGGAAACTAGGACAAATTACAAAGGATGACTATAAGCAAACAATACAGGAATGCAGGAGCAAGATTAGAAAGGCAAAGGCACAAAACAAGCTCAAACTAGCGACAGGCATAAAGGCAAACAAGAAGACATTCTATAAATATTTTAGAAGCAAGAGGACTTTGTTTCGGTCTTCACTGAGAAGTCTGATGAAAGAATGCCTAACATAGTGAATGCTAGTGGGAAGGGGATAGGTATAGAAGATAAAATAAAAAAAGAACAAGTTAAAAATCACTTAGAAAAGTTAGATGTCTGCAAGTCACCAGGGCCTGATGAAATGCATCCTAGAATACTAAAGGAACTGTTAGAGGAGGTATCTGAGCCTTTAGCTATCATCTTTGGAAAATCATGGAAGACAGGAGAGATTCCATAAGATTGGAAAAGGGAAAATATAGTGCCCATCTATAAAAAGGGAAATAAGAACAACCCAGGAAACTACAGACCAGTCAGTTTAACTTTGTGCCAGGAAAGATAACGGAGCAAAAATTAAGGAAATCATCTGCAAACACTTGGAAGATAATAAGGTGATAGGGAACAGCCAGCATGGATTTATAAAGAACAAATCATATCATAAGAACATAAGAACAGCCATACTGGGTCAGATCAAAGATCCATCTAGCCCACTATCCTGTCTTCCAACAGTGGCCAGTACCAGGTGCCCCAGAATGAATGGACCGAAGACAATGATCAAGCAATTTATCTCCTTCCATCCTTCTCCAGCCTTTGACAAACAGAGGCTAGGGGCACCATTCCTTACCCCCTGGCTAATATCCTTTTATGGACCTAACCTCCATTTTGTCTCCTGCCATCCTTCTCCAGCCTTTGACAAACAGAGGCTAGGGGCACCATTCCTTACCCCCTGGCTAATATCCTTTTATGGACCTAACCTCCATTAATTTATCTAGCTCTTTTTAAAAATCTGTTATAGTCCTAGCCTTTACAGGCTCCTCTGGCAAGGAGTTCCACAGGTTGACTGTGCACTGTGTGAAGAAGAACTTTCTTTTATTAGTTTTAAACCTGCTACCCATTAATTTGATTTGATGTTCTCTAGTTCTTATATTATGGGAACAAGAAAATAACTTTTCTTTATTCACCCTCTCCACACCACTCATGATTTTATATACCTCTATCATATCCCCCCTCAGTCTCCTCTTTTCTAAACTGAAAAGTCCCAGTCTCTTTAGCCTCTCCTAATATGGGACCCGTTCCAAACCCCTAATCATTTTAGTTGCTCTTTTCTGAACCCTTTTCTAATGCCAAAATGTCTTCTTTGCGGTGAGGAGACCACATCTGTACACAATATTCAAGTTGTAGGTGTACTATACTTTTATATAGGGACAGTTAGATATTCTTTGTCTTATTTTCTATCCCTTTTTAAATAATTCCTAGCATCCTACTTGCTTTGACTGCTGCTGCACTCTGCGTGGACATTTTCAGAGAACTATCCACGATAATGCCAAGATATCTTTCCTAATTAGTTGTATCTAAATTAGCCCCCATCATATTGTATGCATAGTTGGGGTTATGTTTTCCAATGTGCATTACTTTACACTTATCCACATTAAATTTCATTTGCCATTTTGTTGCCCAGTCACTCAGTTCGGTGAGATTTTTTGAAGTTCTTCACAGTCTGCTTTGGTCTTGACTATCTTGAACAGTTTAGTAACGTCCACAAACTTTGCCACCTCACTGCTCACCCCTTTCTCTAGATCATTTATGAATGAGTTGAATAGGATTGATCCTAGGACTGACCTTTGGGGAACACCACTAGTTACACCTCTCCATTCTGAAAATTTACCATTTATTCCTACTCTTTGTTTCCTGTCTTTTAACCAGTTCTCAATCCATGAAAGGATCTTCCTTTTTATCCCATGACAACCTAATTTACACAAGAGCCTTTGGTGAGGAATCTTGTCAAAGGCTTTCTGGAAATCTCAGTATACTATATCTACTGGATCCCTCTTGTCCACATGTTTGTTGACCCCTTCAAAGAACTCTAATAGCTTAATAAGACATGAATAAGACGTGTCTGAAAATTTTATTCTTTACTATTGTTATAGCTAATTTGGCCGGTACTGATGTTAGTCTTACTGGCCTATAACTGCCAGGGTCGCCTCTAGAGCCCTTTTTAAATATTGGTGTTACATTAGCTATCTTCCAGTCCTTGGTTACAGAAGCTGATTTAAAGGATAAGTTGGAAACCACAGATAATAGTCCAGCAATTTCACATT